AAGTTGAAACTGACGCGACTGCCACTAACAGAAAGACTATATTGTAAATTAACTATTTTATATTATATTTATATTTATTTAAAATATATTATAAATATTTTATCCGTGAAGAGATATGCTTCTGAAAGCCGGGTGAAAGCTTGCGAAATCGCACATGTTTTGCCTCTCTCTCTAAATATATCTCATTGAAAATGAGCTAGAAAAAAATGATCTAACATTAGACACTCGTGACTGGTGCGTCCCGTGTGGAAGGGCATTTCACACTGTCAGCAAGGTTTCAATGTCCAGACAAACTGTAGAAAATAAACACATTTACTTTTATGAAAAATACCTCCTTTTAAAAAGGCCTACTAACTGTTGGCCACCGGTTGTTGACGCCTAATGATAAACTAGCAGAGTGTTAAAGTGTTGGTAATTGACCATTGTAATTGTTATACACTACGAAAACTGTTATCTAGTGGAAATATCGCCTATTTGAAAACAAATATAAAACAGTTTGCTGAACTTTTCAGTAATTCGTTGTTCGTCTGAGATGAGGCGACTGCTGGCGCTCGATTCAATTTCTCCTTTTACGGCAGTTTTTTCATCCCTCTCAATGATGCAATACCGCCACCATCTGCTCCGGAGTGCCCCGGTTGTGTCAAAGCTCAATTAGATTGATTTCAGTTTTAGATTCAATCAGTTTCAATCAATGTGAGAGAAATGTGTACATACAACACTTAATATGAACAATTGAAATCTACTTGATTAAAGAATGTTCACAACAGAAATATAAATGAATTGTGTTGTAGATACACGTTTCATTTTTGTTATTTCAAAGACGTGCTACGTTCATTTTTTTTCCATTGTAGATGATCTCCGAAAAGTCAAACAAAGCCTTTTGGCCAATTAGTAGTTTTCTGGCGTGAGCGTGCGGTTTAAGGTTTACCTGATCATGACTTTCTTAAACATTTATGGTTTATATACTTATATGTTAGGTTAGCATTCTCAGCAATTCTAGAATATTGAATTTGATGTTCCAAATTTCCTCTTCATCTTGAAAACTTGAAGCTGTATTTTTAAAAACTGGATATTTGCAGTCTAAGATTTCAGAACAAAAAAAAAAATACTATTTGAAAACACGTCTATAAAACTGCCATAAAAATATTCATTTAAATTTCAAATGTTTAATATTCAAGTAAAAAAAATCCAATTCAGAACTGTTAAATGCCACATAATATTCAGTTTTATTAAATGACACTTGTCAATAATTCAAATTTACACAATAAAAATTAAATTAGTTTTGTCATTATAAGCTCCATACGCCTCCAGCAGCACAGGGGTGTTGGAATGTTCGTAAACAGTATACCGTCGCTCAGCCTTTTCGAACTTCTTTTTACCCCAAACAAAGAACGAAAACAAACTTCGTTTGAAGTATATCAGGGCCTTTAAAGATGGTAACTTCTCAGACGTCCCAATACCCGACAAATGTAGATTTAATCGATCTAATTTAATTTGCAAAAACAAACCCTGACCAGCAGCAACCTGATAAACATGTCTGTTGCTGTTTTCTGCGTCTGTCGGTGCAGCATGAATTGGCATGAAGTCGCTTAGGATAAAAGTGTTTGCCAAATGCATAAATGTAAATCTAAATGTAAATGGTTGGTTTGGAGTCTAAGAAACCATGGTTACCGTGTATAACGATTTTTGATGATGGTAAAGCTGAAGGACTGACCCCCTGTAGCTCTCATTACATTCATGAGCAATGTAAACAAAAAAAAATGCTCTTTGATGTTAAAGTGTGTAGTCATGTCATTATTAACTGGCAGGAGCTAATAGGGCTACGATAACCAACAAAACCTTGACCTCTTGGTCAGTATGATAGTCTGAGGAATTTAAGATCATCGTCCGAACGTGGATTCACGTTCAACGGATTCAACGTAATTCTCTGGCTTTTTAATGCCAGAGAATTAAAAGGACAGTCACACTAGATTTTGAGTTCAGTTCTCTTGCATTTATACATTTTGACCCTCAGTTCTGTACCATTAGTGTATCTGGTTTTATGAAATGTATCTTGAATATTGCCAGCCACATAAGAGTCCTTTTTTTTTATTCTTAAAGGGGTCATAGGATGCCCATTTTCAACAAGTTGATATGATTCTTTAGGGTCTTAATGAAAAGTCTGTAACACAGTTTGGTTAAAATTTCTCAATGGTAGTGTAAAAAACCACAGACAGGCATCTGAGATCGGCTCGATTTGAGAAAGGGGTAAAGATTTTAGTAGATTAACAAAAAACCACTGGGTGGATTTTTATCATTTTAGGGTGGTTGTGTACACACACTGCCAACACACATTTCAGTTCAAACAACTTGTAAAAGTGCATGCAGCATTATATGACCCCTTTAAAGGGGTCCTATTATGCTCTTTTACAAAGTCTTGATTTTGTTTTGGGGGTGTACTAGAACATGCTCTCATGCTTGGTGTTTCGAAAAACGCATTATTTTTCACATAATTTACATTATTAAAATATCTTTCTCCCCATCCTGGCACAAACAGCTTGATTAGTTCCGGCTTTGATGAAGGTCCGCCTTCCGAAAAACAAAATGTGTTGTGATTGGTTGGATGTCCCAGTGCGTTGTGCTTGGCGAACAGCTTAGACAGTGTTTCATTACTGCGCAGCATCGCGTCACATCTTTAAAATTAGAATACTTTATTTTTTATGAGTGTAGGCACACCGGCGGCGCCGTTCGGCGTCTGTCCGCGGCGCCCAGCTACGTCGTGTTATACTTGTAAGAATTGTTCTAGACATGCCGAAAATTTGACGCTACAGCACAGCAGCTCTTCTTCTTCGGTTTCTCTGATGCACTAACTCTGCAGCAGCACTTCTTCATCATCTCGTCAGATGCAGTCACTCAACCAAGCGTTCTAACCACAACCGCGCCCCTCCCCACCCCCCAACCATTCGAATTTCTGTAGGCGAGAATTATTTGTAATGATATTCCAATGAGCCGCTTTGTGATATCACAAAGCCAGGAAAACAAACGCTGTAGTCTAAACGAGCCTTTCTTTGTAGTTCTTGAAAAAGGATTTTTAAAAAACAAAATATCTCCCTTTGGAGTGGACTTTGAGATTTGTAATTTTCTAGATATTTTTTATGCCCAAACATACACACTACACACTGACTAAAATTTAAAAAGTGAAAACGCATAATAGGACCCCTTTTACTAAAACTGTTTAATTAAAATTGTTAATTGAAATATACCTAAAATAAAATATAGGCTAAACATTAGATTAAAAAAATAAAATAAAATTTCCTGAAACTGTAGTAAATATTAGAGATCCACAATATAATTTTTTTCCAACAAGATTTCAGTGCTTTTATTGTCGCCCGATAAATATCTAAAAACATTTGTGTAATAATGTGTATTTTGACCTTTGAATTTGTATGCGTTTACACATGACTTAGCCTATATTTTAACAGTATCGAAATCGCTCACAGAGTAAGTACGTTCACAGAGCCGACATACAATTAAAGAAAAATGCTTAAATACCTGAAGAAATATCAGTAAAACCGATTATTGGCCAATCTCTGATAATATTATATATATATATATATATAAACAATTGAAACTAAAATTAAAATTAGAACTGAAAATATAACTAAAGCTAATTCAAAATATAAAAAATGCTTAAATATTACTTAATTATTACTAAAATAACACTGATAGGAATCTTATATTGACGTCATCATGAAATTAAGTTACTTAACTTAATATTCCTTAATGTTCCTGATCTTATTTGGCAAAAATAAATCCTTGCATGTTATTTCAAAGAAAAAAACATTTGTCTTTCATCAAAATATAACAACATGCTTTGCTTCTGAAATTTCCTCTGTCTTATATTTGAATATTTTGTTTCAATATCTGACGTGTAACATCATAATTTGCATCTTTATAATAATCTATTTGACAAGCTTAAAATGATTAATCTTTTAAGAGAAGCTAGATCGTTTGAAGTTTCATGGGAAGCTGGAGTATGTAGGTGGTGTACATTAACATTTTGAATTCATTGTTCTATTGTACTAAGCCACTAACACAGTTGTTAGCATCTGAAATAATATCATATTGTTAAAATCTGCTGGGGCTGCTGTCCTAATAGTTTCCAAAGCCTCTGTTTTTAAGGTTGTGGTATACAAGATGGCCTGAATTGATCTTAAGTCACAGATTCAGTAGTGCTGTACTGAATGTGGAAGAGCAGATTTCAGATTTGCTGACAGAATGAGGTGATGTTAGTGATCTCACCACCTGCTGGCTTGAGCAGAGGCCTGTGTAATAAAGAGGAAACAGAAGCTGCTTCAAATAGAACGGCTCAGAGTAAATTACCATCATTTACAGAGGAGACAATGTGAGCGTGTGTGTATCAGCACACACTCACACAAGGTTAGCCTGCCATGGATTGTTTTTAGAAAGCACTAACCATAAGAAAAGATGGTACTGCCAAGGATCTGCATGTGCAGTTTTATTTAGGAGAACCTTAAGTTAAAATAAAACATTTATTATAAAAATGGGATTTTCTTCTGTAGAGGATTGCATCCATTGCTTTTATTTTTATCAGGGCATTTAATTGTGAAATTGAATATGCCTAGAAAAGTGTTATCAGCTGTTTCTTTTTAGTAGCACTTACTTTTCTAGCCTTAGGTTGCTTGCAACTATCCAAACTTTTTTGAGACTTTTTTGATGTTGCTGCCATCATGTTCAAAATTACCTTATTTTTTTCCTTTAAATTGTACAATTCATCAATTTAAACATTTGATGTTTTCTTCTTTTGATATGTTGTATTGTGAATATAATATGGGTTTATGAGATTTGCAAATCATTGCATTCTGTTTTTACATTTTACACAGCATCCCACATGTTACACAGCGTACTTTAATAGTAACAACGCTGGCCGAGATTACTTTTTTCTTTTTTTTTTGTTTATTTTGTTTTCTATTAATGTTTTTTCTCTCATATGTCCTCAGAGATGTTATGAACACAAGCAGTACAGAAATGGGCTGAAATTCTGCAAACAGATTCTCTCCAATCCAAAGTTCTCTGAACATGGAGGTAAGAACCCTGCTTGGAAGTGTTCATGACGTACAACTACACTCCTATTTCAATTTAATGTGAATAACATGGACCCAAATTGAAATGAATTAACATATTCAAAGTAGGCCTGGGCGATAAAACGGTATTGATATTTTTAGCTATATCGCCCAGCCCCAATTCTAAGCAATATTCACTCAAACTAGAGATTGACCGATATATCGATTTCTCGATATTTAAGCATTTTCCCATAATCGGATATTGGTTTTGTTAAAATCGGATTTACCAATAAATGCCGCCATCTTGTGGGTGTTTTGAGAATTGCGCGCAGGATCGCCATTGTAGCGTGTCTGAGGGGAAACGAGACGACAACAACAACGTCGTGCAGGTACTTGATTTGCTGTAGTTAGTAAACTTTATTTAACATTACAAATTAGATGCATTACATAAATGCCTGATATGTTTTTTTATGCAGCTTGGCTCTAAGAAATAGAGACCAACTCACGGAGTCATGTAAAATAATCCGTCAAGTCCTGTCCCAATAAAGACGTAACTTTGCCTGAATTAAATAATATGCAGCCATGAATGAGCGAATGTTGGATATAAAAGCGCTGAATTGATTCTCTCTCTGTTGTCTATGCTCATCGTTAGTATCGTGAAGTCGGAGTCACGTAGATAATCCGTCAAGATCCTCTCCCAATAAAGACGTAACTTTGCATGAGTTAAATAGGCTAATACAGCCATAAATGAGCGCATGTTGGAAATAAAAGCGCTTAATTTAATTCTCTCTGTGTTGTATATTTGCTCATCATTAGTCTCGTGAAGCCGCTTTCATATTGCTGTTCACTCACCGGGTTGATGCGGTTGATGCTCAGGAAATGCTCCAGCACAGCCACCGCATGAAACTTTTAACAAGATTCATTTGTTTAAAACACCCTAAATTGTATTAACATTTACTATATAACCATTATTTTGCTAATAAACATCAAAATAAATACAACTCATTATTTATTATCTCCGCGCGCGATCACAGTTTTAGTGTAGTTCTGTGTAACTGCATAGATAAACCGTGCTGTCAGCAGGCATTTCATAATCTAGAAGGACAAAAACATTATTAATAATTCTGATATAACATTCCAATTGAGAAATGCAATAAAAACAATGTTTTGTTTGTTATATTCCAATAATCCAGAGAATATTATTCAGTGAATTAACATTATTCAGTGAATTATTCTTGACTCTGTAGCTATTAAACGGCTTATAAACCTACTAAAACTGTAGTTTAAAATGAAGTTGATATGACTCCTGTCCTTTATTTATTTTCTCCATTTAAAAAAAAAACATTAGACATTCTACATTTATTTAGCTTATTATTAATATTAGTGTTGTTGCTGTTGATGCTTTTTATAAATAAAATGTTTTTTTGTTGTTGTTGTAATATGAAGATTAAATTTAACATGAAAGATTGCTAATTTGAACACTTAAAAAAAGAAAAAAGAAAAGAGGACTGAAAAGAGGAAAAACCAAAGTGAAGTATGTTCTTACTTCACTCAGTCATTTATTTACTTTATAACAGTAAATAAAGATTGGTTCTGCATATCGGTTATCGGGCACATAAATATGTATCTGTATCGGTTATAAATTCATTCATGACCTCTAGACTGGACTATTGTAATGCACTGCTAGGTGGTTGTCCTGCATCTTCAATAAAAAATCAATATCGGTCGATCACTAACTCAAACATATTCATATCCATTGACAACTGTTAGGAAAATTAGTGACTGGGCAGAATTACTTCTGCCCAGGTTATAAAAATAGCCAAATATCAGTTTGGCATGTTAACACTACATGCATATTCATATAGTTTTAGACTGCAGTGATATAATCAAGGTTACTAGAAATTGTGTTGTCTTTAAAGGGGTCATATGATGCTGCTAAAAAGAACATTATTTTGTGTATTTGGTGTAATGAAATGTGTTTATGCGGTTTAAAGTAAAAAAAAAACACATTATTTTCCACATACTGTACATTATTGTTTCTCCTCTATGCCGCGCCTTTTTGAAACGCGTCGATTTTTTCAATGCTCATCGGTCTGAAAAGCGAGATGTGCTGTGATTGGCCAGCTATCCAGTGCGTTGTGATTGGCCGAATACCTCAAGCGTGAGACGGAAATGTTACGCCCCTCACCATACTGCTGATGCCGTGTCCCGGCCGGAGCGACGAGATAAAAACATTAAAACCTATTACAAACGAGGCATTTGTTGCATCCAGTGGGGACATAATTACTGATAATAATGACTTATACTGTCTTTTTATGCATTGCGTTGCATTGCATGGCACCGCGTAAACATAAAACCCTCTCTGCATTTGTGATCAGAGAAATGACAAACAACAAGCTTTAAATTATTATGTGAGTCAGAACTGCCGGCATTTTAGTCTAACGTTACTCTCCCAGGATCAATAAACAGTCCTCCATTCCTCCATATGGACACATCTGGATATTTGGGTTAAACTGTTCTGGAACAGTGTTGTAAATACAACTTAACCACTGATTTGTAGTCGTGTCCTCTTCCGTGAGCGGAAGCCCCGGCTTAGTGTGAGCTGAGGCCGGGCTAGAGTGAGCATAGGCGGCGGGGTCGAGAACGGCGCGGCCGGCGGATCCGATGAAGGAGCGGCAAGCACATGTGACGACCCCAGGCTTCGTCCACGGTGAAAGCCGATCCGGCGATCCACAGTGCAAAGTTGATGTATTCCCTCAGCGACCAGCACGGATCAGCTGTAGG